TCTTTCCCTCTGCACCCACAGTGGCCAGCACCAGATCTCACTTGCTGTGATACTCTCCACCAAGGCTACTTTGCAGCACTCAGGCTCCAGGGTGTCCTCTCCCCTCTCCAGCATGGCTTAGCACATTGTGGGGATGATGCACAGGAAGTTGGTGTGCTCCTTTTGCACACACCAGGAGGGAGGTTGTGGAGAAAAATGGTGTATTAGTCATGGACTTCCCTTTCCCTTGCAAAATGACAAGGGGCTCAGGCCTTCCTGAACTCCCCCCTTTCCAACATACTTTTTCTCTTGCAGGAGTGTGTGTGTCAGGGCTAGAGTCTATTGGGGAGGTGGGACCCTGGAGTCTGTGGGACACCTAGACCAGTCTGGGAGTCCCAGATCACAGGGATGAAGGATTACTCTCACCAACAGGGGGTTGTGGCTCACTCAGGGTAATCTGCTCCATTCCCAGAGGCTGGACTAGGGGAGGTTCAGGATGTTTTGGCTGATGCTCAGCTGGACAGTGGTTGTACCTTTTCTTTGCCTTGCAGGTGTTGTATGATGGCCCAAAGGGCAGCTTCTTCTGAGACCATCTTGTTCACCTCCTCCTCCTCTTCATCCACCTCCTAGGCCAGCTTCCTGGGGGTCACTGCAAGAGGGAGAGAAGAGGCTACTGGGAGGAGGGAGAGGGGAGAGGTGTTTCCCTATGCCTTTCTCCCATGAAAGGGCCCTAGAGCTGAGACAGTCACACAAGGACCGTCCTCACCAACATCCCCACCCTCATCTACCTCAGGGCCCCCACAGCTGACAGGAGAAAGGACCTGGGGGTGGGGTGGGGGTACAGACTCCAAGTGATGATGGCTTCCCTTTCCACCTCCCTCCACAAGGCCCTGATGCTGGGTCTTCCCCCTGCACTGTGCCAGGTGCTGCCTCCACCCAGGTGCCAGGCTGGTGCTGGGCCTGGCTCCCTTCCTGTTCTGGGTCTGGCCTGTCCAGGTGGCATCCTGATCCACCTGGGAACTGTCCAGTGCCAGAAGGTGGGGCACGTCCACCTCCTCTCTTGCTGTGTTATTGATGCTTTCAGGGTCAGGCAGCTCCCAGCACAGGCTTTGCATTGCCATCTCCCCGTCCTGGGGTCACCACTGCCATCTGCCTCCTAATGACCCTCCTCAGCCTGTCCATCCTGGGGCCAAATGTGAGCAGTCATGAGCCTGGGTTGGGAGCAGCCTCTGTCTTAGCTGACCCAGCTGACTGACTCCCCCTCATTTCAGATATAGGCATCTGCCCCAGTTCCTCATTGCTGTGGCAGGAGTGGTGATGCCAGGGAGGTCTCAAGCTTGGAGGGTAGTGGAAAGGCCTCTTGTGAACCTGAACAATCAACTTCCTCTCACTGCTCCCTGCTCTCCCCATCTGGCTGAGTCTGGACAGCCCCAGGGAAGTCTTCTATGCCCGTGCTCAGGTGCTCAGGAACTGCCATGCGAGCTACAGGTGCTGAGCAGCTTGTCAGCCTGGGTTGCCAGGGACCTGTCCAGTCTGAGGCGAAAAGGATGGGTTTTGGATGCCATGGGGATGGCTTGGGAAGACACCCAGGAGCTAAGTGTGCAAGTTGTCTCACACTCTTGCCCCCTGGACTGGTCAATGTAAGGGGGGCAGGGCTGAGAGGCTGGAGGGCTCTTGAGCCCACCACGAGGGGCAGGCCAGGGCTTGATGGAGCTATCTGGCACTCCAACTAGCCTGGAGGTGGGGCCAGGGCCTCAAATAGGCCAAAGATCCTCTCAAGGGGGAGGACATCACTACTGAAAAGAAGGTAGGGGTTACATTCTTAGGGCAGGGGTGGGCAAAATGCCAAGACATTTTGTCTGGCCTGCAGTGGGTCCCTTGGCCCTGCCCAGCCCAAGCGCAAGGGGCAGTCTGGGTCATGGCGCAAGCAGTCAGTTCCACTGCCCCTGGGCCATTGTGGCTCCTTCTGGCTACCACTGCCAGACCTGGTCCCACTGCCCAGGGGCACTGGACTGAGTAGGGAGACTGTAGAGACTAGCTGGGATCCATATGGACAGGGTATGTGGCTGGGTGGATAGCATGGGACCGTGGACAGGGAGTAGCATCCAGGAGTGGGGCAGGTAGGATCAGGATTGGGATCATGGGATGGTGACAGCCTGGGCAGAGCTGAGATCTGCTCCCTGCACGTCCCTGCGATGGGTTCCAGGGGCAGAGGTGTGCAGGGAGTAGACTGCAGCTCTGCCCCAGGCCCTCGCCCTGCACTGTCACTGTCCTGATTCTGATCCCGATCCCAATCCCCAGCCCTGCCCACCCATCCCACTCCGGGATGCTGCTCCCCCTCTGTGACCCCATCCCATCCCCCTGGCCACAGCACCTTCCCATACAGGTCCCAGCCAGTCTCCATGGAGACCCTGGGATCACTGAGTGGTGACAGCATGGGGCTGGGGCCTGGGGCCGAGCCACCATCTGCTCCCTGCTTGTCCCTGCCCATGAAGACACATACAGGGACCAGATGGCAGCTCTGCCCCAGGCCCCAGCCCTTCACTGTCACCATCCCGTGATTCCAATCCCAGCCCAGGCCCTGACTGTGCCTGACTGTCCCATTCCTGGATGCTGCTCCCCACTGGCCCACAGTCCCATCCCAAGTACCCAGTTAGATGCCTTGCCCATGTGGGTCCCAGCTGGTCTCCATGGAGACCCTGGGATTGTGGGGTAGTGACAGCTTGGGGCTGGTGCCCACGGCAGAACCACAATCTGGTCCCCACATGTCCCTGCCCCTGTTATCACATGCAGGGAGTGAATCACAGCTCTGCCCTGGCCCCTGGCCCCTCACTGTCACCACCCTTCAATCCCGATCCCAGTCCTGGCCGTGGCATAGCCCACACATCCAGTTCCCAGATGTGACTCCCTGCTGGCCCACAACCCTATCCCAGCTGCTTGACTGCACGCAGGGGCCACTTAGGGAGTTTTGGTGAGCTTTGGGGAGGGAGGTGCTGACCAAGCCCGTGACAGCTCACTAAAACTTCATAAGTGGGCTCTGGCCAAAATAATTACCCACCCCTGGGTTGGGATTTCCCCCTCAGTTCTGCCTTTGCCTGCATAGGGGCACACTACATAACACACACTTGCTCTAGGGGATGGAGTGCTGCTGGGCAGATGGGCTTGGAGCCTGTGCTCCTCACCTTCCTTGATAGAAAACCTTCCTCTCTTCCTCAGAGTATTCACAGGCACTAGGAGCAACAAGACCCAGACAACCTGACTTCCAGGCTCACCAACTTTAGACTATCTTACAAACTAACCAGTTTTATTACTTAAATGCCTGCAATAAAGGGGTTGCCAGGGAGCAACAGTCCCAAAACTGCTGAGGACCATCATACAGCAAAATCATTAGAAAACCTAATACCTCCCAGAGGTTCATAAATTGCTGCTCATAGACAAGTAGGAAGCTGCATACCTCATCACTAACAAGGTTGGCTAGGAATTATTTGCTTGGTTTGAGAAGAGAGTAACCTGGAACTAAGTCTCCACTGTGTTGACTCTTAGTTCTTATAATAACCCAATATGAATTGCTTACATATGAAGCTATGTTTAAAGACCTGATTGGAAGCTGATGTGTAGTAGTGATTGAACAATTTTTTGACTTTTCTAGGACAATGTTTCTCCTGTTGTGTTGTAGCACATAGCTTGTCTGTTGCATGTTTGGTCTAGGATAAGCGTTGTGCATAAGAATTGGAGGAGGCATTATTTTGGGTAGTCTCCTGTTAGTTGGGAACCTGTGCGAGGGCAGTCCCCACTGTCCGGTATCCCCCAGCCTCCCAGAGCTCATTGTGGGGCCCCTTCCCTGGAAGGACCCATGGCACTCCTCAGCTCACCATTTTAGCAAGCTGGGGGATACCAAGCTGGCTCATTTCCAAATTCCACCAGCTCTACACACTCATGGTCCGCATCCTCCACCATCCCATCCAAGCGCCCTGCCCAGACACCAAGTGGTGGGACATCCTTGGCAACGACAAGTGTCCCCAGTGGATAAGTCTGTATTCCATCTTAAACCCATGAGCCACTGCGGACCTCAGCTGGTGGCTTCTCCATGGAGCTGTTGCTATGGGCATGTATCTGGCATAGTTCACAGACACCCCCAACACCTGCCCATTCTGAGTAGAAAAAGACCCTGGCACATGCCTACCTGCAGTGCACCAGGCTGCAGCTCCTTCACCGACTCCTTCTGCCAAGCTTCTGGCTGCTCTTCTCTCCTCACCTGTTTATTTTTGCACTCCCCATCTGTGGCCCCACCAAGTCCCAGGACCCCCTGGTCAACTGTCTCCTAGCTCTAGCCAACCTAGCAATATACCTCACCAGGAAGGTGGTTCTGACTAGGAGGGCCTTCAGGGACTGTGAGGCCACTTTCTTGTCCCTGATCTGATCCCATCTCTGGGCAGACTGTCACCGGGCAGTGTCCCTTGGCTCCTTGGACTTGCTTGGCGCCCTTCCTTGGCACAGTAGTTATTAACATTTGACTTTCACTCCCGTCCTCATTTTCAATATTATTTGTCCCAAGGAATCAATATCATGTCATTAGTGGCCTCCGTTACCAAAGGGGACTTATCATTAATTGATAGGCATAAGCCCATGATTCCCATTGATATGTTACAAGTTAGTCGGAAATGATTTCTCAGGTTGGAAAAAATGACTTCTCACAAGTTCCCTAAGTGCTCATCCGAAAGTCTGGGGAAAAGGAACAGAGTCAGATTAGTTCTTTAATACCCAAGCAGGAGCCCTTTGATCAAGAAAAAAAGATCAACAGTTTTCACCTCTCTAAAGGAGCAACCTCTCTTCCTAGCTTTAGGAAGAAGAGTACAATGCACACAGTAACCCCACAGTTTGTTCTGACTCAGATGTTGTGTCACTGTCCAACTCTTCAGGGACAGCTCTTTTCCCTTTCTCCAGGAGAGAAGGAAGCAGGTGGAAGCGCAGGACAGAAGGAAGAGAGGGAGAGAAAGGAGGGAGAGAAAGGGAAGCAGGGACTCTAACAGCACATCTGTACCACTTTTACAATGCTCCTTTGAAGACACAAGGCAAATGCAGAAATGATGCAGTGATGCTGCCCTGATGGTGCCTCACCACTGCTTTTGAGGCCTGCATGTTCCCTGCTGGCCACAGGTGGTCAGACTGAACAACCTAAAGTCAAGATCTTAGCTTCCAAACAAGGGCAACTGCTGTTGATTTCTTTCCTATTAAGGAGACACTGGATCTTGATGCAGCTCTTGTGGGTCTCCCAAAAGGTCTTCCTGAAAGGACATTCCCAGATCATATGAATGGGGTGTTTTGGAACATGGCACCTCGGCCTGATACATAACACACAAATCCCATGATTTGCAACTACTTCACTTTGTGATTCCCAATTACTTCCCTCCCCCTTAACTCATTGTCCCTACTGTTTCTATAATTTTTTGCCACTGTCGGATATTGTCAGCACAAATGGGACATTTCCCTTCCTTGCTATTATCTCTCTCCCTGCTGCTCCCTCTTTATTCTTCATTCGTCCTGCAAAGACCTTCCTCAAGGCACGGTCTATGCCAATATTAAAAAGATAAAGAAATCTTCCCCAGTAAGGATTCCAATTGCCAGTGACTAGAGTGCTGGTGGGTTGCACCCATCTATCCTGGTTAGCAAGGGGAACCTGGATCAGGAAACAACTGGAAGTCAGCATTCACCCAACGGGAAGGGCCATGTCAGGGACAGATGGTCTACACTGGGAATAGAATAGACAAGGAAAGTTAAACCACAAGCATTTCTTATCATCTCCTAATCCACATGT